GAGAGATGGGCGCGCACCCCCAAACCCTGGGAAATCAGAGACACGCCCCCCAGCCTGTCCCCATCTTTCACTGGCAGCCAGAGCAGAACGGAAGGTGAGGGGAGGGCACTAAACCCCACAGGAGCCTTGGAGGAAGAGGGGGCTCAGCCCCGGTGCTATGGGGCAGGCCCAGGTTGGGTCCGTGGCCCCTTCCCGTGGTCTGAGCATCGGTCACGGCCCCATGCTCAGCTCTTAGCAGGGAGTGCAAAGTGCTCAACTGTGAGCATCGGGAGGGTGCTGGCTGCTATAATTGCTATTAATTAACATGTTGCAAAGACATTCCTTACCATAAAAAGCCAGAGAGCATGCGCAGCTGTTCCCCAGCACTGGGCAGCATCGGACGCGACTCTGACACTTGAGGTCAGTCCAGCAGGGAGACCGGCTCCCCCTGCTCCCACCCCAAGGAAGGGGTGGCTCTGGCCGAAGCGTGCTGCTGCTCCCAACGCAGGCCTGGCTGCCGCCATGGCTCCCTGGCAGGGCTGGGAGCCCATCCACCTCCCCACATTCATTCCCTGTGCAGGGCAGAGGCAGGCAGTGTGGGAAGGTTTAGAACCAGGGTGAGTGGGAGGCTGGATTTAGGAAACAGGGACCGGCTGGCTCCACTTTCCCTTTAGCTCAGGGAAAATGAGAACCATACAGCAAGGAGCTGCAGAAGCCACCTCTTCCCCCCGGTACTCACCACCTCCAGCTCCTTGTCACTGCACAGCTGCCACTTACTCAGGTCCTTAGCCCCCAGCAGCCTCTCACCCCCCTTTCTTCCTCCAGATGTGGCCAGGGCACCATTGGGGTAGAAAACAACCCAGCCAACTTCTATTGCTGGCGATGCACAGACCAGGAGGGAACGGGACATTTCACATCCCATTCTCTGACTGCATCTCCCCACCTTTGCGCTGAGCTGGACCAGCTCCTCACCAGCCCCAGGCTGGTACAGCTTTCCCAGGGGAAGGGGCTGACAGCAAAGCCCAGAAATGCCTCTTAGGCCATGCAGAGGCGTTCCCCAAATCTCCAGAGAATGTAGCATGGTCCCATCCCAGACCCTAAGGGATCTTGCACATTTTCTTTAGGCTCCAGTTAGCAGAAGAGCATCAGCACGGGGACGATACCAGCTCCCACACTGAAGCTCAGATGCTCCAGAAAGGCTGCAGGCAAAACTCCGCCCTTCCCTCCCCTGGCTTTGCCTGCAGCAGCTCTAGGTGGATCTCCTCACCCTGGGATTGGCTGCAATAAAACATGTTTTACAGCCTCAGCCTGAGCACAACAAATTCCACACACTCTCTCCTAGAGAAAGAAATTCAGATCAGACCACTGCTGTGGCAGAAGCAGATCCAGAAAGATGAAATCCAGCTCCTTCTGGTGAATGTCAGCGTGCGCATCCAGCAGGCTTGATGCCGCATGTAATGCAAGCCAGCAGTGCTTTGCTTATGCTTAAAAACACTCTGTCCAGCACCTGCCAGCCTTTGGAGGCTCTTGGAGCTGGAAGAGGAAAGGAAAACCAGCTAGCGCTGAAGTCTCAGGTTTCCTCAAGCATTTGAGGTTTGAGAGCAAGAGGGAAGGTCCCTGCCGGGGAGGGCTCTCGGGTCAGTACTGTAAGCCTGCATAGCCATACATGTGAAAAACAGCCAGGCAGGTGTGATCAAGGTTTGAACCCACACAGTGGTCTAGCTCTGGGCTGGACAAACCTGTCAAATCTGCTGTTTTTCAGGCATTTGCTACACCACTGTGAGCATGTAGTGTTTCAGACCATGCTCAGGTCCAGGCTGAGGAGGAAGAGGAGGTCAGGGGTTCAAAAAAGGCCAGGAGCTACCCAAAACACAGCTGTCTGAGGAGGCAGCAGCCCAGGCGGGCATGTGGGTCTGCCACAGCAGGACTTCCATTCTCATCCAGGCTCTAACTTCCAACTCCCGTGTGACATGGGGCGAGATGGGTCATCACCTCTCTGCCCTTTGCCACTTGGCCTCTTATCCACTGGCACCATAACTGCCCAGAGCAGACCCTTCCCAGGATGTGCAACCCTGACTTCCCCAGGGAAACAGCCCACCTCATAGCTCTGACACTCACCCCACAGAGCAGCCTCCCCTGCTAGGAAAAGAAAAGGCAGGGTTGGTGGATGCTCAACAGCAGAAGGGTTAAAACACAGCTCTCCACCTTTCTGCCATCTGTTCTCACTCCACATTTCACGCCAAGGTCTGCCTTGCCCTCTCCACCTCCCCGTGCTCTGTTTGTGGTCCCCTGGACAGTGACACAACAGCTCTTCCACTGCTGGGCTAATTAGACACCAGCATACATTCACTCCTGTAAACACGGGCCCAGGTTAATAATGGATTTGCTCCAAATTGCAAAGTAGCAGCTATTGTGAGCACTCCCAGCTCTATGGAAACCCTGTATTTCAAGTGTTACCATGGGCAAATAATGGAGAAGATCCCACAATAGAGCAAGCAGCAGGAGTGAGTGAGGTGGGTGCAGGAGGTTCCTGGCCAGAGACCACAGAAACAACATACGTGCTCCACAGCTCTGAAAGTCCTTGGTGCAAAGATGGCAGAGTCCAGCTCCTGTACCAAAGCCTGCCAGTATCACTCCAAGGCATGTGCGAGAGTAGCACTCGCTTCTTATGTGATACCCATGGGTTAAATGAAGGGAATGGACTTGGCTGCTTGCAGGAAAGAGATGCGTCAGATTTAACAAGACAGAAGACAAAAACAGGGATGGGAAGAAGGTGCTCTGCAGAAATCAGTATGGGAACACTTCTACACGTGCTCTGCCTCAGGTCAGTGAGGAGCAGCAACCAGTCAGGACGCCATGGAGCTCCCCCCAGTTCTCACTGCTCTGTCATGACTCCAGCCTGCCATCACCCTGTCTACCATTGCCTCACGCAGGACAGAGACCCGCTACTGGGACAGCTCATGAAACTTTGGGGTAAAACAGCCCCTGTACATAACTAGACCACAGGCCTGCCAGGGACCACCACGGCCAGACACCACCATACCACAGAATCGGCATCTCGCCCCATCACTGTGAACTAAGTAACAGTTAAGAGTAACAATGTGAAAATCCTTTGGGATCCTACAGAACTGAGATTCCCAAAACCCATCAGGGAAGCAGGCAGCACCATCTGGAGCTTACAGCCTCCTGCCCTTAACAGAAGGGCTGTACCCATATGGTGGGGGGGGTGGTTTGGGGGTACTTTTTTTTGGTGGGAGTTTTTTTGGTTGGGTTTTTTTGTTGTTGTTGTTGTTGTTTTGTTGGGTCATTGGGATTTTGGGTGGGTTGGGGGTTTTGGGGTTTTTTTTTTGTTGTTTTTTTTTTAAAAAACACTCACCATGCCTGCTGCACATCAAAGCATTAACATTTATACCCAGGCCTGAAGATGTGCAAACATAAGAGCCCACACAGCAGCCTTTGCTCCAGATCCACAAAAGGCGGCAAAGACAGCCAGGAGGTAGTGTTTCCACAGGTTTATAAATCTGATAAATACAAGTATAACACCCTGCCCACCACAATGGGGCAGAGGAGAAGGGAAGGAAGTCCCAAAGGTTGCTGAGAGAGTGCTGACATGTACTTGGCAGCTGGGGAGTACACAACAGCTGGAGATTTATGCTGATGTGTCAAACAGCTTCTCGATCATTTCCCCCACCTGGTCAACCTGGTATTTGATGTACTTCTCAGGGTTCTTGGTGAAGGGCACATTGCCGTATCTGCAAAGGAAGACAATCCCCAGGTGACAAACAACTGGAACACAACAAAGAGACCTGCTGACCCCTCCTCTGTCACAAATCAGCTCCACTCCAGCACACCCCACTTGAATCTGCCAGCGTGTCTTGTAGGGAGCAAGTGACCTGGTTACAACTGGTCTCCTGAGTTTTACACGAATAGCCCAGGATGGTTCAGAGTTTTGTGCTAGCTAGAACATCTGCACTCACCCTGACCAAGGAATTGGGGTGACAGCAGACATTTGCAATTAGTAGAGTTCAGCTTGGGGCTGTTTTAGCGTGCAAGCTAAAGACAGGACAGTAGAAAAGTACCTCAGCTGAAGCTACTCTAGGCTCCAAAGATTTACTCCTCAGTAAATCCAAAGAAGAGAGGACAATGTTGCAAGAGGTCATCACCTGTTCAAGAAGGCACCATAGGTCTCTTTCACAATGGTTTTCTGTGACCGGCGGATTTTGTCCCGTTGCTCCATGTCTGGGATTGCCCAGGCCTTCTGGATCTTACAAAGCTCCTCCAGCCCATCATTAAAACCCTGTCCAAAGTAAAATTCAGTGAATGTCTGGTCTGCAATCATGTCTCTATACAGAGTCTGACATTCTTCACCTCCATTACTGATCACCAACAGACAGGTCTCCTCCTTAGGCAGCTCTTTGGTCTGACTGTCTGTCCCAATCAACTAGGGGATGTTCTTATGCCATCTAACACCTCCTTACCTTAAAGCGCTCCTTTATCATCTGCCTCTCCTTATCCTTGAGCTGCAACAAGGAGGGAAAGGATTTTATTTCTCCGGAAATTTATTTCCAACATCAGTGTTTGCCCACAACTCCCCATCCAACCTAAGTAATATCCTACCTACTTGGCTTGAATTCCCTCTCCTAAAGCAGGGAGGAGAGAAAGCTGCAGTGAGCAGCACACCCTAAATTCACAATTGGCTTTCATCTGAAGTAGATTTAACAAGTGTAATTTTCAGCCAGAACAGACATAAAAATAGACTTCTTTATGCTTCCAGCCCTTTCTAAGGGAAGGTCTCAGGGTTTTGCAAATCCAAAACAGAAGCATCTGCTCAGGTGAAAATATAAGAATGGAGGGAGAGATTAAAAGACTTGTATGAATCTGGGGCAGGGGAGATTAGAAGGCAGTGCTGCTCTCCATCTTGTCCCAGCCACAGTATTCACTCTGCAGAGCAATACTGGCATGAGATATAAAGAAGGTTTCTGGGAATTTTTTAATAGGACAAAGGACATGTTTCTGGCAATTTCTGTCATCTCAAAGCCATCCTTGCCCATCCTCTCACCTTCACTCCTGGCTGAAAGACAGGCAGGTTTCTCTCCAAGATGCAATCTATCACCTTCAGCCAGCTGCATGTGAAATGAGATAGGAAAGAGGCAAAGAGGAGTTACTCATGCCTTACGAGAACATCTCTGTCTTCACCCATGACCCAAAGGCCACTCCAAACAATACACACCCCAAAACTTTCCACAGTGACCCCTTCCCAAGTTAGATTCATCGCCTGGAAACCAAAATACTTGGCTTTGGTTTTAGGCAAGTTTCTGGTTTAGGCTAATCTGTCCCACTGCTCCAGCAGCACTGGCTCCCAAGGACCTCTCAAACTGACAAAACAGGGAAGAGCAGAGGATGTCACCTGACCTGCGCTGGTAGGTCTGGATCTGCTGTTCGATGAGCTCCCGGTAAGACCTCTCTGCTGTCTTCTGTGTCACGGCTACCAACTGGATCAGCTCAGACCTGAAAGAACAGAAAGCCCGAGGAAGCACGTGAGCCAGCTGCTCTCAGGGCTGCTAGCAGGACGGCAACATTTCAAGCCCCTATCAACAAGTTCTTTTCTGCCCTTTACAATAAGAGGGACCTTCAAATGCACAAACTGGGAGACAGAACCTCCTCCAAGTTACTTTCCAAAGCCAAGTCCTCAGTCCTCCCAAGATAAAAGGTTTCTCTACAACCTAAGGCATCTCTGATGCTTTTACCTTCCACTCTCACATAATGTGCTATTTATAATAGCGCAAAGCTTCCAAAAGGGCAGTTTCAAGAATGGAAGAAAAAGCAGAGATGAGGCAGGCTGGCAAGTAAATGCACTCAATGCAGAGCTCTGCTCCAAAACCATGCTTAGAATCAGTCTGGACTTCAGGGAGATTTACCCAGGTACACACTTACTTCTCCAGAGATTTCAGAATGTAGTTGTAGTTGTTGTGCAGAAAAATGGCACTCAAAGCTGGGTCTTCATAAACCTTGGATTTACTAAGAAGGTTAAGCTGCAGGTTGCCCAGCACTTTGCCTTAAAGAAGGAAAAACATAGAACAAGAAGTTTTGCACTGAAACTTCTCATTACTGACAATCCAAACCGAGCGCTCTGTACTGTTGCTGTGGGCCCACAGCAAGTGAACAGCACAGCCCCAGCTGCATGTGCAGACAAGGGTACAACCACGTGCACTTAACAATTCTACAAGCCTTACACAGATCTTTCCCCAGCAGGTCACCAAAACCTCCCTGTGAACTTGTGCCTTTGTAGCAGCTGGCAACACAGGTTCAGAGTAAGTCCCAGGACCAGCAGGGGAGATCAGACTCAGCCTGACCATGACACAGGCCCAGACCTCAAACAGGCTGACGGACCTGATCAGCACTGTAACAGATCATTGCAAGGTAGTACCACAAACTCATCTCACTATCTTACTGTTAAATGCAGGATCGAGATTCTGCAGAGCCCCTTTGGCAACTGGGAGCCTCTGTGGGGTTGAAGGCACAAAGTACTGGGTGAAAATGGTTCAAGGCAACTGATGACAAAAGCTCTGCAGCACAGCGAGCTGCTGCACTGCGCTTTGACTCTCTAACTGTAACATTCTGAAACTCCCAGTTTGACTCATTTCCATCCCTCCCATCAGACTCCAGCTTGAACATGGAAAGATCACATGGAGTAAGACACACAGCCTGTGGTCTTCACCCAAGGATGAGCTAAGTGAAGGACAGCCGATGGGGCAGAAATGGGAAGGTGTGCAGAGTACTCACAAATGTAGGTGCTTAGCAGCCGCCTGCTGTACTCTGAACTGTAACTACTAGCTGAAGAGCTGGTCTCTGAAAAGAAAAGAGTCTTAGGCCAGTTAACATGCCATGGGGAAAGGGGGTATGTGTGGTCAGCCTGTCCCTATTCAAACAATCCTTGTCCCTGTTGCTATGGAATTAGTGCAGAGCTCCCATCGACAGTGAAATTAGCTCCCCGCTTCAGTGCTGACTGTCAGCGGCTTATCCAGGGTGAGGGTGGAAGAGCTCTGCACCCCTCAGTCCTTGTATCTGCATCAAGTGCTGAGCACCCCAGCAGAAATCTATCCTTTCCTTCCTAGCACTCAGAGGACATCCTCTTGATCAGAAATAGAGTCATTAAACACATCCTCCCCATCCTTCCCCCACCACCTGAAAAGGGTTTGTAAGCACTAGAAATTGGCAATCAGAAAACAAATGAGCTGGAGCTGTTAACAGCAGGCACACAACAGTAATTGAAACAAGCAGAAGGGCTCTGGAAAGTTTCAGCCATCCCCATGGCTGCTGATAGGGCCTGCTTGGCTCTGTACGAGAGACTGCGCCAGCATGGAAGCCTGCCCTTACAAGCAATGACTCTGGGCTGGCACATGTTCCTGTGTCTATGCATAAAAAATGGCTTTCTGCCCTCAATGGCTTGTGGGCATGGGTCCCACGGGACACGTGGGGTGGCTATCTCCTCCTCTCCCCACCAGAGAGTTTGGCAGCCGGGCCTAGCTCGGGTGGTCCGAGTTCGTAAGCACCCCATGGGAAAGGCCTCGAGGCTCCTGTTGCTGGGAGTTGGACAATAAGGAGCCAAGCGCACACGGGATAAAGCATGATACCAGCTGGGCCAATTTGCTACCCGTGCCAAAGAGATTCAGTGCCATGAGAGTGTCTTTAGTCTGTTTCAGCTCATGTGGCATCCCTCATTGTCTCTGGTGACAAGCCGTCCCTATTCTCTCCAGCCCACTGGCAAGAGTTACCTACCCTCCCCTTTTTCCCTTTTCAATTATGTGTTAATTTATTTACCACTCCTGGAGGATAAAGAATTAACATACATCACCAGAGTCCGAGGCAATATGAACAGGTACGTGTGGGTAAGTCTGCTTACCTCTGGGATCTAAAGGAATATTGTATGTGTCCCCAAGAACTACAAAGATTAGGCACAGCAGAGAAGAAAGGGGAGGGAGGAGAGAGAAAAAGAAACGCAAAGTGCAAAAAGACAGGTTAGAGACCACCATCCCTTTGAGAACAAAGCAGATATTAACACAGAGCAGCCACAGATAGCCACACAGGAGAGCAGGCAGGAGTCCCTCCAAGGCCACAAACAGAGTGGAGATCACAGAGGAAAGGCAGAGTCTAACCTCCTTCCCCTGCTAGAAACATCGTTTGTATTGTCATTGTTTGTACCTAGCCAGACACCTCATTCCAAATCACTTCAAACCCACTTTCAAGGCAAAGGAAAGCTTCCCCCCATGCCAGCAGCAGTTTAGTGGTCCTTGAAATGAACTGCACAGCCCATGTAACCTTCCCAAGAACATGAGCAAAGCCATCTCACCCTCACTCTGCACTTTAGCGTCCCTGCAGGGCAAGAGCAAGGTATTGGCATCACTGCATTTAACTGATCAACTTTGCTTTTGCTACCACTTGAGGCAAACATTGCAGAAAAAACTGCATGTATTTCCCACCATGTGGGATCACCATGGGAGTTATCTAACCCAACTCCAGGCACCCACACCTGAACTACCAACTGGAAGCTGTCATTAGAGAGGCACCCTTAGGGGCAAGTCACCATCGCACAGCAGATGCCTCTGTTCACAGAAGCAACTCCCCTCTTAAACTCCACTGACATTATCACCTCTGATCTGATGATACTTGGTCTAGGGTGATGTCAGGTCCACAGCCGGACAGGGACCACAACTTCACCAACATTCAGTAACCAGTGTAAGTCAAAATGAGAACAGCTCTGCCCTACATGGGTGCCTGGTGTTGGGCCAGGCCTAGCTTTTGGAGCAAGTGACAGAGCTGTTTCTGCATGAGAACACCACTGGCAGAAAGCAGGGAGCACCTGGCAGCAGATGGTCCCCAAGGCCTGACTGCAGACAGAGAGAACACAGTTTATAATACCTGGATTGTGGGTCATCTCATGCATGGTTCTGAGGTACTACACGTCAGCCCAAGTTACCAGATCTGTTACAATTACGCTGACTTGAAGCTTTAGTAATCGAACAGACTGCAATGAGGCATTTTTCTCAAGCTGTCTTTACACAGCAGATCCCTCTATACCTGATGGGACAACCAGCCACAATTAAAAAGGAAACAGCTTGTGTGTCATGGATATGGTCACATTTTGTTATATGACCAATATAAAGAATAAAAAAGCCTACGCTACCTTTTGAATCAGCTCCTCTGACAGATCTCTACCTCATGACAACATGTCAAAACTTTGAAACAACAATGCTGACATCACCATTCACAGAAGGACATGGGAAACAGTTGGTTTCTCCAAGAAAAGACTCAGACTACCTCTCTGGCCAAGGAGAGAGAGTCAAGGCCCAGAAGACTCTGAGCACACTGAGCAGGTGGAGAGGGCACAAGGCAGTGGCTAGAGGAGATCTGGCAAGAAGCAGAGACATCCTAGCTTGAGTTAATTTAGAACTGGCAGAATTTTCCAAGCAGGAATTGCAGATAAAAGTCTGGAGGCAGCTGTGAGCTTTCCCCTTCCCCTGCTCCTCATGCGCTCCCTAACCCTCTCCAAAGACCAGCTAGTGGCCTGTGCCTCCTCAGGTCACAGGAGGCACTTGTGCCCCCTGAATCTCCAGTTCTCCACCCCTCCAGCCTGCTCTATTCGAACCTACTTGAAAGCATGAGCTCTGCCAAGCCCAAGGGCTCACTAGAGAGCTGGAAGCTGCTGCTCTGCACAGAACCAAGAATCATGCTCTAGCTGATACACAGCAGCATCCCATTACATAAGGCAGCAGCTCTCAGCTTCTGATCTGTGTGCTTCTTTCTGGAATTAGTCTCTTTAGCATCCTGGAGAGCAGAGCCAAAACTTGTCTCTCTGTTAGGGCATGTGGCACATGAATAGCTCAGGAGTCCCAGCTTGACCATGGCTAGAATGCTGAGGAGAATATTCTTGCTGCTGCTGACCAGAGGATGTGGCAGAGAAAGGTAGCAATTCATCAACGCACAGCCTAACTAAAGCTAAGTCAGTTCGACCAACCACTCTTACTCCAGTAGAGACACAGAAGACCAGCCCAGTGTCAGATTTGAAGATAAATGTCTAAGGCATCCTCTCTTGATACCACAGAGCACATCAGCAATAAACACCATCCCAAGAATACCTGATAGGAGCAAGTGTGGAAGGCCAGCAGGGAAACTCTCTGCATCTCTTGGAGTTCTCCAGATAACCAACTACGTGTCATGGCAGATCGGAGGACAAGACAAACCACAGGGTGAAGGACAGGAGGAGAACAAGCTCACAGTGCATGTTGAGGTTTGATCTTTTTAGGGAAGATGTTCAGACAAGTTGGGGAAGGAACTGCATGCCCAAACAAGCCCCATGCATGTATGTACCTTGCGATGCCAGCATGGCACCCGCCGTCTCCTGGAAATCCAATAGTTGCTGTAGGAAAAGAATGGCCTGGAAACAAGGGAGGGAAGTTATGAGCAACTGACATTGCGTCTCCTATGCTCTGCTATCAAGGATCATGAAGGACCACTTGTCCCCCCACACTTAAAAGCCTTCACGAAACAAATCACTACACTCCTTTGAGTTCCTGGGTTTTACCCACACAGTCACATCGTGGCTTAGCAAGGGTAACTAGCTAATCTCTCCATGGAAGCCAGTTAATTGTCCTTCCAATACCAAGACAGCTTAACTTAAGAAACTTCCCTACCGCTCTTTATAAAAATCTCTTCAGAAGCTGTTTTTCACAAAGGATGGTTCAAATCATCATGACGTACATTGCTGGTGAGTTCGTGAACTGTCCCATCTTTTGGCATGTTATATTCCTTGTCCGGATCATTCTAAGAAGGGAAGAGAGAGATATAAGGTAAGGATCTAAGGAAATTGAAAGCATCTACAATACAACTGCTGCAAGCGAGCTGTAGGCTTGTTTATCCAGCCTCTCTCAACATCCTCAGACCCGGCTCTTGCAGTGCCATCTCCTGGTGCTCAGAAACCACAGCTCCTTTGCACCGGCAGCTCAGAACCACAGGGGTTTGTTCAGCATGTGACCATCAAATGTTCAGCTCACCTACCAGACAGTGCACTCACCAAGCCCACCTTACACAGGGACAGTTTAACATGAGTCCTCCAAAACTTTTCAAGTCAGCAATTTTCCTTTCCTTTTAAATAGGATTAAATTCTGAGATTGACTTGGTATCTGTAGAGGCCTGGAAGCTCATACCAAATTATCTGTAGGATGCCTGTTAAGGTCTTAGGCAGAGGCCTCCTGTATTTGAAATCAGCACCAAGCATTTGGTATTTGTAGCTGACCGTCCAAAGCGATCCAGCAATCTCCTGCTTTAGAGTGAGAAACTACGTGGTCTCATGGGAAGCTGAAAGCTAAACTAGGGGTTCTGCTCAGAAGACCCCTCTTCCAAGCCTCTCTTGCCAGAGAGAACGTTGAGGAGAATCCTACCTTGATGTTGTCTGCAAACTCTTCCAGTGCCTTTGCACCAGTGGTCTCCATGGAAGTGATCAGCCCTGGCAGTTTGTTCTTAGTGCCTGCTGCAGTTCCCTGGAATAGTTCCACAACAGATCAGAGAAGGAAAACAAACAGTATCTGAACTTTCATTCAGCACCTACCTGCCCTAATCCCCCACCCCAGCATCTCATTCTCAACTCCCCGTGTGCCAGGAGAATATTTACGGCACCATCAACAACACATGAAATCCTGTATTCTTCTGCCAGCCAGAAAGGGAAGATGTGACCCCAACAGTGACCAGGACTTACTACCTCTCATGTTTCCTCTTACGCAGTACCTGATACAGGAGGTTGGTGCATCACAGTCACCAGCTGGAAGCAGATGGAAAGGAGCCTTGCTAAACCTGGATGCCATATTTGATACCTGGAGAACCTTGTGGCACAGTCCAAGCAGGCTCTCCTCAGAGCAGCCCATCTTCCAGACGTCAGTGAGCACAGCCTAAACTAAGCTCAACAGTATCAGAGATGAAACACCTCAGAGGCCATGTATACAGCAGGATAATGTAGACAGTCCATCACCAGGTCATAACTTGAACTGAAAAAAATTGCTGCTGAGAGATGCTGAGTTGCTGGTTCATCATCACAGAAAGGAGCAAGCTGCATTTGTGTCACTTCTAGTCCATGCTGGAGAACAGAAGCAGCATGGCTCTGTTCAAAGCCACTGTGATAATACCTTTCAAAAAGTTCTTCAGACAACCCAAGCTACAGGACCCTCTCCAATCCCATCACACTTACCTGCAAGACCTGATCAAATTCTGGCTTCATCTGCTTAAGATGCTTAAGGATGGGGAAGATTGTGAGCACAGCTGAATAGTCATGTCGGATGATGGCCTTCCGGGCAGCTGAGACAATGTTATCCCCCTCCATGATCAAGTTGTCTAATGACTCCTGCAACAAAGCCAGAGAGTCAGAAGGAAGCAGCATGACTTTTGCCCAGGCAGCACAAGGGGCTTAATGTAGGATACCCGTTAAGAAGGCCAATTTAGCTGATGGGTCATTTGCAGTACCAGTAAGCGACTCTGAGCACATGTTCTCCAGGGTCTGTGCAGGCCCCAGTTCCCTAAACAGGTCCTGGAGGACAACCCTAGCAGCGGTGGTACTCTTGGGCACCCACAGCAGGTGGTAGAATCCACTTCCTCACAATGAAGACAAAGGGAAAAAGACTTTGTTTGTATCCTTTACAAGAGAAGCCAAGCAGAGAGGCTCAACTGACCTGGATGAGAGAATCAAAGGTCTTCTTCTGGTGGTGCTCTGGGACAATTTCGGTCAGGAGCTGGTATTCACTCTGGGCCAGTTTGACAAAGGCACTAACGCAGTGAATGTACGCATCAATCTCGATGTCGAAGACGTCATCCCTCCCTGTAAGGGCAAGATGGCTTTCAGAGAGAACAAAATTCGCACCGAGCTTCCAGTGGCTCTGCTCACTCCAAGGCCTTGGTTTACAGAAGGAGCACAAGGTTCTTCTGGAAAAGGCGGTTCTGGCTTTGCACCCATTTTGTGTAAGAACAAGAGTCATCTTCTCACCAAACCTGCCCCCTGGGTTTGTGCATGGGAAGCTACGCATACCCTGCAGGAGGCATGTAAAGTCATCTGCAGTTCAGGGAACAGGCACATCGGGACACCAGCTCTTTCCGGCCTCATGACAAAAGGCAAGTTTGGAGCTCTTCTGGGATACAGACTAAATTTAATCAAGGGCTTGAACACAGAGTACTAAACTCAGGAAGGTCTGAGGTGAATTATTCAACATCTCTGCTTGTATTTTTAGAATTCCTTATCTACATCAGTCATGCAGATGAAGAACTGCCATTTTGCATCAACATTTCTGGGAAATCAAGGCTGTCCTGGAAGGCAGCCTCTTCCCACAGGCAGAAACAGAAGATAAAAAACAGGCAGATGAACATTTAAATCCTATGAAGCAGGAATATCAGCACAGCTAGGTGAGCTATCTGCCACACAATGCTGCATACAAATGCAAATATTCAAGTCCTAGCATACAAATGTCTCAGACAAAGATCCATCAAAGAACCTACATGGTAGGCATGAGAAGTACCGATATGATACAAGGGCCTGCACCAACTCATGCCAACCACTAGCTGGATGTGTCAGCAGGACAGACACAGATGGACTCACACCATTACTCAGACCCCTGTAATAACCACAACAAGACAGCAAGATTACACAGAGAGGCCTTCTCTAAGCTATGGGCTGCTGTCGCCGCTTTTCTCCTCCCAGCAACATCTGCAACTTTGGATGGAGAAAGAACCAATTCTTCCTTACACTGACAGGTCCCTCAGGTTGATCTTTTTAAAAGTTAAGGTCAGCAGGGGACACACAAACATGATGTGGTTTTACAGACTGCTTACGGTGGAGAGCGGCCCACTGTACTGCACGCTGCACGTGAGCCCTTTCCTGTTTGCTTCTCTTCAGCACTGAATAAGCCAGTAGCTACCTATAGGAAAGTGCCCCTCAGCATGGTGGCCACCAGTCTTTGGTTGGACAAAGTTGGGGTTCCCTGTTTGAGGGCTTGGGGTGTGCACAATTAGTAGGAGTGAATTCTACTGAGAAGAGCCAGAGCTTCTTAGCCAGAGAAGGCCCATGCTCCAGGACTGCCCATGTAGATGAACAGCCACTGGCTACAAAACTACTGTGAAACATGCTGAAAAGAAGAGATGTTAGCCAGCTTGTTATGAAGTGACAACATGGTACTTACCAGCAGCCGGCCCATGCTTGTCGCTCAGGGTATCGGAAAGGTGTTTAACTCGTAAATCATGCTCATGACCTAGTGAGATGTCAGCCGGCACAAACAGAAGGCGCAATTTATCCAGGGTGGTTACAGCATGGAGGCTCACACTGGCTGGAAGCCGCTTCACACTTGGCTTATTTGATCTGATGGACACTTTTTTCCCTACACAGTCCCAGGAATGCTATCTGACCAAATCCCTTTGTTGGGCTATGTAGCGGTAGCAACCCTTTGAAACCTGATGAGAAGTGTGAGTTTAAGTCATTTGTTGGGCCACAGGAGTCCCTTCAACCTCCTGCCATAAGTTCTGAATGGGACAGCAGGCACCAGAAGTCCAATTTGTATCCATAACCATTACAAATCCAAACTCAAAGCCCATCTCCTGCTCAGCAAGAGAATTTTTTTCCCCCAAAATGAGTGATGTTAGTCACCATCTGGGATTTAGTAGACTACAATGTAGGCGCTGAAGAGATCTACTTTGGATGCATACGCAGCAGGAGGCAGAAAGCTCGTACAGATGCTTTGAGGCAAGTGACCTCCCTTATCTGGTACAACCTCTATGAGCAGAGGAGATCAGAATATGGAAGGCGACCATTTAGATAGGTCTCCACAGAGAAGATGTACAGGCATGATGCGCTGAGCTAGGTGTGGTCTGACACTTCAGCATCAGGTTTGGAAAGGTCACTAGGAAACTGAATTTCTCAAAGTCCAGGCAAAAAGAAAAAAGAGAACAGAAACACCACAAGCAGATGTCATCAGAGCAGAGCTTCCATTAGCCAGGTGGCTATGGTGGGTCAACTGCTTTAAGGTAACATTCCTCTCCAGCTGTACTCATGTTTATGGAGACTTTGAAATTCAGACACTAACTTCAGAAAAATAACTTGGCCCTCCAGGATCTCCTTAGTTCCCCAAGGACAGCTGTATCTATCCAATACTGTCCACCAAGCACAAGGCTAATGGAAGTCCCACCTGGAAAAGCAAGGCTGATACACAGAGAAAGTCAAGGGTGAAGTAGCTAGAGCTGTGATTACCTTCCATAGGAATGAGGTTAGAGGCCCCCTTTTTCCCATCTAGACCATGCTGAGAGTACTGTTTCAGAAGGTTCTGAGCCTTCCGGATCGTGCCTGTCACCAGAGCCAGAGAGAAGAGACAAGAAGACCTAGAAAATGAGTGAAAGAAAACAAACCCAGAACACCAGCCCTCCACCAGCAAGTCACCTGGGCCCAGCAAGAGGATGCTGGGCACCAATGAGCATGCTCAGTACAGGAACGTGAAACCCAAACTGATGTCCAAGTGTGCAGATACAATGGCATTTCCAGACTGTTTCCCTTCTTTGAGGGTGGGGGCATGAATTCCAGCCAGGGTTACAGAATCAGGGAGTGCTCAAATCAGTTTGGTGAGGTAGTATGGCTGGGTGAGAAAACACAATCAGAGAAGGGAAGCAACGAAGGACCCTTCCCTGTAATGAGTTTATTTAAGCCGGTACTCTGCATCCAAGCATACAAAGTTTGTTGCTTTTCCTCAGCTATGGAAGCAGGGCTTTGCAGTACAGGCAATTCCTGTCCGGCAACACATTGCCTGCTCCCCACAGCCACAATTGCAGCCACTTGGTTAGAGCTGCAGAAAGAGGTGCCTTTCCGAGGGGTATTTTCTGAGCATGCTCAATATAGACCCATCAGGAGCCCCACAGCCAAGACAAGGAATGATCTCTGGCATTACAGGAAGCGATAAAAGGGTGACAACCTCTGGGCTCAAGAGACCAATTACAGCAGCAATTCCCATCACAGGAATCATAGAATAATGGATGCTGCCCACCCATGTCTAACTCGCATTAAGTCACCCTAATCCCCAAGACACTTCTCTTCTAAGGAACTGCAAATCAATTAAAACCATGGAAAAAAAAATAACACTGGGTTAAAAGATTTATACTTAACACACACAAAAAACAGACAGAACTGAACAAAAGCCAATGCTGGATATACAGCTCAAAAGCACAAAACAAAGCATTAATGTGACAACTGAAGACTAAGCACTGTTTCCACATTAAAAGGTTAGTCGTCATGCAACAAGCTACAATTATCACAAGCACATGGACACCCTCTCACAGCAGAGCTTTGCTGTTGCCTGCACAACAGGGAACAGAAAGTTTTGGGAAGGTAGAAGGAGTTTCTATAGGAGACCCAGATGAAACAGAACTGGGCTGAGTAAATGAAGAAGGATCCAAGAAATAAAAATGCTGCTGCCAAAATTAAGAATTGTTCTTCCGCTTTAAAGTAATAAATACTTCAAACATGCAGAAGATCCCTACTTCCACCAGTAACTGTAAGCCACAGTGCAGCCTGGAAATGAACGCTGGCTGTCCAAATGCTGAGGACTGCTATCCTGAGGGGAAGCCCAAGTATACACTGCTGCAGAACAGCATCCTGGGGTGCAGGACAGCTTCATCCCGTAAAGGGATATACGGCAGGGGGAAGGACACTTCCAGTCCCCCCGACAGTGCATCTCTAATGGGGTAGAACAGGAGAGAGAAGTTCCCACCGAATTACCAAGCTGCCTTAACCTGGTGCACTTACTAAACAACAGAACATGGTCCCTAAAGCATAATGTTTCACTGGTAACATTTTTCTTCTACCAGTTCAGAGTGTTCTCAACCACTTAGTAAAGAAAAAAAAAAAGAGATCATATCCATAAAATGCATTCTTCTACCAGGAAACTTCTCCCCTCTAGACCCACACCAGGGAGGTGGGAAGACTTAAAACCCTGCTGCGCTGATGCATTTTCTCCTAGCTTCTGCCATATGATCCAATGAGAGGGATATGCCTCTTCTTCCAAGCTTCCCGATCCTCTTCACACCCAACACTCACTTTATTCTTAGCTACTTTCAGAAACCTTAAGAGCTTGGGCACAACAGCAAGTTCCTTTGAGCAAGCAGGGCTGTAGCAAGCTCTGGAGATATGCACTAAGCTCTTTCTTACTGCTGTTACCATGGCCCAGCTGATGCAGAGCAGCTCAACCCAGGTACTGTTCTTCTACCAGTTCTTTCATCTTTCCCACTTTCAAGCATCCAGGGGGAGGGGAAAAACAAAAGAATAAAAGAGGGTAAATTGGTGTGAAAACCAAGCAGACAGTACAACTGCTGCTGCTGTCAATAGAATCTCACTTCACAGGTATGCAGTGCAAGTCTCTGCAGCCTACCCCTGACAGTTTTTTTTCCTCAAGTGAGAGCTGAAACGCCTCTGCTGCATTTTATTTGCATAAGCACCATTACCTGTGTTTACGCTGACACACACCGAGTGTTCAGTGTTCATGGGCATCACTTCAGTGCTGCTGTATCCCTCTTACTTAGCATTGTAATTAGGCTTCAATGGATTCTAGTGGAAGCCAAATGCTTTTGTTCCACAATTGTTTTCCCCTATTAGGCAGCTTGCAAACCAAATGGGACTTTGTTTCAGCTACTAATGAAAACATCACATTCAAGCTAGGCAGTGATCAATATGGGAAGCGGGAAGCAGGAACAGGCTTTTTATTCTACCACACAAAGACTCCACAGCCTGCCTTCGGGTAGCACCTCCCCACTAGGTAAACTGGAGCATTAAGTAAACTGGAAAAGGGCTCCCCTATAGCTTGAAAAGAGCCCCCAAAACCCCCAAAAGTCAAAAGACACCTGAAACTTGTGCTCCTGTGGCCCAATTGTTAAATAAAGTGGCTTTTGGGCATACATGAGGCACAGTTTTCCAATTGCACATTGTTCTCCAGTTTCTCTCTTCCATTAGCCAGATTTCTAACCAAGCAGAAGGGCAACACATCCTCTTTTCTTAAGCACCAGCTGCAGGAGTCTGTATAAAACTGGCTAAAGCTCTCTGGCTTTTGCTTGTAGGCAGCCAGGCTGGGTGCCCCTACCAGTATCTTCTGGCCCTATCCTTCCCTGGCAATGCAGAGCTTCTGAGCTACGTGCTAGTCTCAAGACAACAAAAGAGCACTGGGTCTACAGGCATCACAAAGAAGTGATATTTTACATACATATGTTTGCAGTAGGATGATTTGGGAATCTGAATACACTTGCCCTCTGAGACAGACTGCTGACACTTCAAACAGCAAACTACTAAAAAAATAAAAAAGCCCAGATTGCTTCATCAGTTCAACTTGACTTGGCAAGTTTCATTTAAGAGACAACTCTGCTTTAGAAGCATCTCCAGCAGTCAGATTTTCAACTGCATGCTGTAACAAGAGGAGACAGTACAGGGTACACCAACAAATAAAACAGTAACAGAGAGATGAAGACCCTCCGAAACAACACATGGATATGGAGCATGTTCTCCAGAATCCAACATAATACCTGGGGGAGAGGCGGGGTCTCTGCCTCATTACCCTGTCCCTAATACCTCACCTTCCCTTTAGTTATAGCCTCTCTTGCGCTTTACTTTGTAAGTAAACAAGTTATAGCACATCAGATTTAGTTTGTTATTTATCCCTTGCAACAGGTTAAAGTGTGCATTGGGGTGTGCACTGGGATATTCTTTCTTAAGGACCAAGGAATCATGAGAAAACCCCCTTGTCTGAAACCCAAATTGGCAGAATTGACTTTACTTACTGAAGCAATAGCACACAAAAAAATTTCTTTGTCCATAATTGAACAAAGGCTAAAACCAGCGGAATCAAACACCACCAGATGAATATTGCTATGAAGAGGGCCGCTGTGCCAGTTTGAAGAGGGTGTAAGACCTCTGCCTCAAGAGCTGTCCTTGAAAGCTGATGGAACTGCAGAAAAAACAGTGAATCTCTGCTCAAAGACTATTTTTTCCTCCATTTTTAATTTCACTTAAGTACAATTTAGTAGCCATAAGAGATGGCTCGTGTACGAGGTTTAACCACCCCTGTCCTTCAAGAGCTACAGTCTGGTTCTCTGTCTTTGTTCACAGAAGACTGGAGTCGAATTAGCCACTATTTTTCCTTGAGATTAACAATACCCCAATAGATCATTTGAAACACTCTT